GAATATTTCCTATAAGGCAATTTGACTAGGTTTTATTCATTATCATCTTTCATTATTTTCTTGCAGTTTACGTTGTCAACTATTAATACGTTCATTCATATACACTGCACTTTAGGCGTTTATTGTGTGATTCTTCTCCGTAATAATGTTCCATTTATCCCTAAGAAATGAATTCAATGCCTGTCAGTGCTTTCTAGAATTCTAGTAACAGGCTAGTTCTTGTAAAGTAGTCTTCTGGCAAAATTACTGCTAGTTCTGCTAGCTTCTGTTTAACTTCTGATAACATTTGTTGAAGAACTGCAATTACACTATTCACATAACACACCTTCCATAAATGCCATTCATGTACATGATTTCATTTGAATACACCTTGTACCGCCGTTGACCTTTCAGCGTATTTACTGTGTTTCACCTTTAAAATCACTGTCTTTCAGGTCTCATCCTGAGTATCGCCTTTTTCAACTTCGCTGGAATCAGCGTAACCAAGGAGCTGAGCGCTACGACCAGGATGGTACTAGACTCGATTCGCGTTTTCTTCATCTGGGCCGTTTCTTTGGCCGTGGGTTGGCAACACTTCGCTTACTTGCAGGTAACAGTAATGCTAATGCCGCTACAGAGCTGAAAGTTGTAATCATACAACAAATTGTGAAAAGTGAAAAACTATTCATCGCAAAATTTTAATATAGCCTTCATTGCATATAAATTTTATTGATCATAATCTCTTTGTTTCTGACCGATCTGAATTGTCGTTTGGGTACGTGATTTAATAGAAAGTGCAACAGAGTATGTCAGCAATTCTGTTTTTTGTGGAATGTTCTTAAGAGGTTCATTAAGCAAATAGTTTTACTTACTAATCAATTACTTTTACATACTTTGGCTGAAACGAAAGTTGAAATAAACTCCCATAGTGGCCAATTCCCTAATTCTTTTATCCCAGAATAATGACAGGTTCTCTCTACTGTCTTTGACCAGACATTTACATGTCTGTATCGACAGCGTTTCTTTAACTTTCTGCTTCCGGTCGTATTATTCTCGCCGTAGCCCATTATTTACTTCTAGTCAACGACATGTTCCCTTTTCAGTGAGTTTTTCGATCAGAGCCGAGTTTATGTCGCATTGGTTGTTTTCTGCAGGGATCATCGTGTGGTTTTCCTTATGTCATTCGAGATCATGTCCACTTTTCTTGAGGTCAGCACTGCGTAGTCTTGTGAGGTATGAAGGTTATCGTTTTTCAATCTTCGAGCCTACTGCCAGGTTCCCCATTATACCTAGCCTCCATAAAATGTTACAAAAAAAACGCCTCTAAGACTTGTGCAAGGCTACTCTTCAGGTCTAATCTGAAGTCTCGAGGCGTAGTTACTTATATAAAAACTATTGAAACAGTAACAATCTGTGCCGTTGCCGATCATAATCCCTGATGAGAAAGGAGAAGGTCTGTGTGAGAAGACGAAATGACCCTGGTGAGGACTTCAGTAACATTCTGCCGCCTCCCTCAAGCTGTTATCGTGACAGAACGTTACTCCAGCGCGCTGATTGTTCGGAAACTAGCATAAGCGGAAGTTGTTGGGGAACTGAGGAAAAGTTCGAAAAATCAGTGCGATTCCGTAATAACACAGCGGGAAAGGTTCCACGGAAACGATACTCATACTCAGAAATTGCAGTCTCCTAACTCGGGAGGAAAGAACAGAAGACGACTGAGACGGCTGCAGGTTCCGACTGGACATGGTTAGACTCTCGCCAATGAAACACTGGAATTCGGAACCTCTGAGGGCGGAAGCTATTCTCCTGAGATGTCGACGTCACGACGCGCGCTCAAGCCGATGTTGTTGTTTTGGTAGAGCCTAGCCTGACTGACAGAATTACTGAAGTAAAGCCTGTCAGAGGAAGAGTGGCAATCCTATGACTGAGGTTACAAGAGGCTACGGTTTTCACCCTTTTACAGTTCAATGCGCTCAATTCAAAGGGAGATTATGAATCCATCCTAGAGAAAGTACATGGTGCTCTGTACAGAATGCCGACTGAGGATTGCATTCCAATGTGCGATTTCAATGCGCCTGCGGGAGCCATAGAAAAGGGAAGGGCGTGACTGGAAAGAAAGGCCGTAGTTCAAGCGGCTGAAATGGGCTTTCTGTGATGAATCACTGTATTCGTCAAACATATAACTTTTTAACTAGACGTAGACCGCTGTTAGAACACAACAAAGCGTTGATTGGTCCAAGCGCAGCGCAATGATCCAGGCGGATCCAATACCCAAGTGCGTCTCTGCTTCTCCACACTGAGAAATCATTGTCACGGTGGTTTGGACAGCTGTTTCGAGCGCTTGCAGAAAGAAATGTGAAAGTTACCACTTAATCAACCGACCGACCGAATAAACAGCCAAGAGTAGACTGGGGCAAATGGGCAGAACGACTCCTCACGAGGTTCAGGTTGTCTTCTGCCATAACTCAAACGCTGGTGCAGGATCGGAAACGTTTAAAGCACTGATTGATGCATCTATGACTCGAAAGGAAGACCGATCACCGAAACTGACTGAATGACTGACACACTGGAAAAATTAAAGCTTGATCGGGAAACAGGCAACAAGGTGGGAAATGAAAAGATCACCACTAGAAGGTAGCGCTTACAGGATCTGAATGACATGAGAAATAATTAGATATTATTACGTTCCTGATTGCAGCATTTTATCACGTTTAAAATTATCAAAAATACTCCTAAAATCCAATGCAAAGTTACTTTAAGATAAATTGCGAATGTACTCTAAATTACACAAATGGATTGCTTTGTGAAGAAGAATATCAATTGAATAACATATCTGTGTCTGCGCATATTCATCAGCATTTTAATTTTCAGCTAATTGG